ACGTAGGCGCTGCACATTCAGAGTAACAGGGGCTGGGTAATTCAAGGTAACATGATTTTTTACCCTGTCAGTTAAACCATAAGAACAATCCAAACTGCGTGTTACGAAATAAAACCAATTATCCTGATTATGTAAAAGCGTATGTGTTATTGTTGCTGATGGTTGATACAGCTGTCATTGGCAGGATTCCTCCATCAAGTGTTCGTGTTTTGCTGCACAACATTCCCAAAGTGACACATTTTATTGTGTGCACTATCATGTAAAACAAATAAAAAAAGGTTGATTTCCTAAGTGTTTCCAATATTTACTGCACAGTTCCTAAACCATGGAAGACCAGCGTTGACATGATTGTTTTTTCTATTCTATCTGGTTTTCACAAAAAGAAAATCAAGAACTACTTGAACTATTCATGTCTTTATAAAACAGAATATATTTATAATACAAAGCACAGAATTAGAGGGTCAGTTGTGACCTACAGCATGGTAAATAAATCAATTTTGTGTTTATACTTCAGGACTGTGAGCTTTTTGTAATAATTTAAGTAATAATTTTTGTAACAATGCCTCAAGCTTAGCTTGCCCTGTAAAGATTTTGGCTGAAGTTCCTGCTGGTTAAACAAGCTTTCTGTCACCAAAATAAAATTACCTCTGCAAGCAACATAATTCTTCAGCCAGCAAGGACAAGACACAACACCAGCTGCTGCAACTGTGCTATTGCATGAAAAAGGACAAGAGAGAATCTGGGGCTTCTCTCCAGAGCTTACCATTTCTGGCTGCCAGCAAACTTCCAGCCGTGTTTGGATCCCTACTGCCACAAGTGAGAAAGGGCATGCTTTCTGAGCTGAAGGAAGGATTCCCAGCAGTACCCAATAATGACGAGTTCATTCAGGAGAGGGAAGGGGATGTTAACCCTTGGGAAAACCAGGAGGACTTCCAAACCTATAGATAATGTGGCACAGAACATATGGCAAGAACCTATATCCAAGTCATGAAAATTTTAAGTATGAGCCAGTTCATGTATAGGTAACAACAAGCCAGTTCCTCCCTCCTGCCACAAACACCACTCTCCAGAGCACCCTCACGTTTCTTGTGTGGCTCAAATTGTGGAGCAGCCCTTAAATAACTCTGACCCTTTTCAAATTTTCAGAAATGTGTAGGCTTTTTTAAACACTTGACATTTTACTCAAAGTGCATATTTGCCTTTTTCAAAGCAAAAGCCCACTACTAACTGACCTTGATCAGGAGAAGAAAAGTAGAAAAAGGCAGGGCAGTTTATATCCCCAGTGCTTGCCAAGTATGGCAATAGGGATTGGTGGGAATACATGATACAACAACTGTGCATGCTTGAGTCCAAGGAGAAGCAAGATGATTTAAGGGACAACATGACTGAAAAAAGCAGGAAGTACAAGTAAAAATTAGAAAAATGGTGAAAACTGCAGGAGGTCTAGGAATTGCATAACTGGACTTCTGTGGACAAGAAAAAAAGCTGAAAGGAAACACACTGGCCTGTGCGAAAAAAAAAACAGGACGTATCAGAAAACACTTCACATACATCTTAGTTTAAAAAAATATATATTAATGCTGAGGTTCATAAGCTCTGAAGTGTATTGCTGTTTGCACACTTTATCACAATTTGATATAACTTTGTTTTCAAATCATGATCTAGCTACTGAGTATGACACTCCTATTTATGCATATTTACACACTCTAGCATCCCTTCTACTCTATTCATAGCAAGCATTTACAAGTTATGTAAAATCCAAATCCAAGCCAATTATGCAAACAAGTACACAAAAGCAGCATGCTGTGCAATTCTAACTGACTGTTAAAGGGATCTTTATAGCCTTGTTGAGCTCTTCTAATTGTACTTGGCTATTCAAAATCAGCAGTCCTTACATTTCACCCCTTCATCCAGCTAGCTTTTGCTCCACAAGTATTATGGGAAATGTAACGTGTAGTAACAACAATAAGAATTCTTCCTCATTAGAGTTTAGCCTAGCCATGAGTCCCTGCCAGGATTTTTCAATCTATTGGGTACACATTCAATGCCTTTGTGGTCCCTGCTCAGAAGAAGGGCAAATTGTTCTCTACTGCTACCCAGTATATAGCTTAATTAACCAGGGAAGCATCCACTATCAGCACTGGCTTTTAAACCCACAAATGTAAGTCCAAGAAATATCTTCCTATTGTTTTTTTTTTGAAAAGACTTTATATTTATAAGGATGCAACATCATACAGCTTCCTCACGTACCCAATTCATGAAGCATCCACATTGCATAAGTCTGGCTGTTATGGTAGAAGACTATGAAGTCCTGAGTTGCCAAGAAATGGTAAACAGTGAGCAATTTTTTGTTTTCGCCTACAGGATAAAAACTAAGGAGCATCATATAAACTTAGTTACCTGGTTAAAGCAAACTAAATAATGTATTTCTATAGGCAACTTCTCAAGGAGCTGTAGAACTTCTTACCACAGCTTGTTGAAGATGGTAACATTTTACAGGGATTCAAAAAGCAATGGGACAAATTGCTGGAAAAGGATTTCATCAAAGACTGTGAAATACAGTGAAAATTTCTGACCTAGGAAGTCCTGGGGCTGAGAGAGTATTTTGGAGAAGTGCCACCACATGCCTGGTCTGCTCTTTCTTCTTTCAGCATCTGACGCTGGCCACTGTCAGAGAAAAAGTACAAGGCTTTTGCCTGAGCCAGTGTAGCTGTTCTTATGTTCCCACGTACTCAGAGGCATGGCATGGTGACTCAAACTGGGAACACCCTTGCCTCTTCCAAAATTGAGGTGTCGCAGTGTTTCAAATCTGCTTACTGTTCCTGCCTGTTGCCACAGTCCTGGCATGCCTGAATGACAAACTGTTCCCATTTTGGGTTTTCCAGCCCCAACCTCATTAACCTTTGGTAACAGTCTGAGCCAGACAGAGCCTGAATATAGACAGCAAGAAGGAAAGGCTGTGCAGGCCTGTCTGTGAGCTATATTGAGCACATATAGCTCATGGAGCAGTGTTAAGGGAGGGACTGTATTTCCTGTAAGCTCCCTGGCCCTGCCTGTCCCCTGTGAATCAGCATCTGGGCTGAGAGTAGGCAAGGGAACAACCTCCATCCGCTGTCACCGTGGCATCTCTGTCCCCGAGGACATTCCAACCTTCGTGCATTTTGGGGCCACTGCTGATTTTTACAGATCTGCAGCAGAGTATTATGCTGTTTTTTAATGCTTGCTTCCTGTTACTGTGTTATGCAATGCTGATCAGTAAACTGGCCAGGAAACCTTGCCCTTTTCAGACGTTGCCATCATCAGCCGCTCCACCTGATGTCTTCTGCAGCTCCACTGGCTGCCCTGGGAGAAGAGGGTCTATAGAGAGTTGGTTTCAGTGCAGCAGGCTCTGGTATGCTATTCATCTCTCTGGGGCCCACATTTCTGATAGACGGATTGAATGGAGAGAAAAGGCGTTACGAAAGATCTAAAACAGTAATTTGGATGTCAAAGAATGGGAAAAACATTGAGGGCTGGAAGAAAGGGAATTACAGGAATTTGAACCTGAGCTCCTTGTTGGTATCTCACAACACACTTCAAGATGTTCCCGAGGAACTGTGCTCCGCAGAGTTGCTAGGGTCAATAAAACGTGTGTGTACAGAATACCGTACCTTGTGCCAAAATGGACTTTCAAGGGGAGAACACTTGGCACTGGTAAACGCAGTACAGCAAGTATATATCCGTCCTTTCAGTGTGACGTCTGAAAGATGCAATCAGTCCAGAGTCCTGCCAGAAGGACTTTCTAGTGTAGACATGACCTCAGTCCTCCACAACAAGAAGCCTAGGCTAATATTGTTACAACAAAACTGTGTGTGCAAAAGTTTAATGTCTCTCTTGCAACCATGCAGCCATGACTGCTGTGGGGCTGAACCATCAGTTAGATGGTGAACTGACCATTTGTTCATACAATCCTGAGAACTGTGCATGTGGTTACACATAAGCTATAATCCAATTATAATCATACTTTCTTGCATATAATATTCTACAATTGGAGGAAGCTACCTTAACCTTCTCATTTCTGTCTTCATTTGCCCCCTCAAATAATACTCTGGTCATCTAATAAAAAGGTATCACATGTTCATACTATTTTTATTATGATAAAAATGTATGATACTATTTCATTTTGTAGTTTATTAGGATTCTTGTTGTTTCTCAAGGATCAGTGTAGTTACAAACGCAATTTCCTCCTTTCTGTGCATGTATTCACTCTGCTAAGCAGCCTGTATTCACTCTGTTAAGCAGCAGTTTACCATGAGTCACAGACACTGCCTGATGCACATAGTACCAAGTCATTTTATCTGATTAAAGAAGATTAAAGTGAAAAACTTTTAAAACAACATGAATACTAAATTTAAACTGAGAAAGTAATTTGTGCTCAGCAAAGAGATCTCATATACCCCCCTCCTTTGATTACAAGGAGCGACACGTCTTTGCCACTAGCTGATTTGTGTGTGTCACTTCTGTTGCCAGCAGCAACAGTTTCGTGTGCTCATCCTAATGAGTGGCGACATGTATTGTTAATTAGTCTGACATGAATTCTCTCTGCCTGTTTTCTTTTGGACAGATGTTATGTGTAACATTAGCAAAGTGCCAGCCAAACACATTGCTGTGTTACTGTTTTCAAAGGAAGTTGTGCCATTAAATGTATGTTGAAAGCAGCTTTGTATAAGGAATGCAGTTTCAACTCCACATTAGAATGTGCAGCTCATCATAATAAAATTATCATCATAATTATTATAATAATTATTATCATAATTATTATAAAGGGTAAGCTTTAGAATGTGTGATAGAGTAACATACATAGAAATGACACTCTGAAAATCAAATTACGAAAACAGAAGACTGGTTTAATAGCGATATAAATACATGCCAGACAAATGACTTCATTTTTATTAAATAAGGATAAAGATGAAGTCAAAATAGTAAAGACATGCATTTGAGAAAGTGAGGGAGCAGTCAAAGCAGGCAGTAGGAGGTCTTCTGTCTGCTGGTGTGTGATCAAACCATTCTAATCAGCAACCCATCTCCTTTGGCATGTAGATCTGAAATTCCTCTTGTTAATAAAAAACGGAAAAAATATCATCAGCAACGCTATTTAGGGAATTTCATTTAAAATGATGGCTTTCCATTTTCCCACTGAAAGGAACATATTGGCTCCTAAGATAATATTAGGTCTCATTTTCTTGCTGCAGCTCTTTCAGTGTGTAGCCAGGAGTTAGTTTTCCTGATAGGAAAAAGAGACATCTCCACTGAAGTTCAGAAGTCACTACCTCTGTCATGCTTTCATCAGTGTTCCTGTTTGATATCCATAAAATATGTGCCTCTCCTGGCCAGCAGAAAGACGATCTGAAAGAGAGAACATTTTCCTTTTATGTAAGCTGCAGCACCAAATAATGTTCTCTTCAGCGTATACTGTTGCCTCACGGGCAGAGAGTGTACATCTCTGAACAAAAATAAAACAATTCAGAGTATCACAACAGAAAGCAAACGGTAGTCCTTTTTTTAACACATTTCCTCTGGTTTTTTTTTTCCTAAAAACTGAGAAATAATTGAGCTGGATTTCAGTCTTGGGTTATGTATGAGACTGCACAATAGTAGCCTGGCTTTATCAGATTTTGCTAAAATTGCTGCTATTTTTTGCAGTTGATCTAAGTTACCTCTATACTTATAAGGCTTTCTGTTGCTCTCCAGTGCAACAATGTATGGAACCATAGCCTCACATGAAACATTTAGCAAAGAAAGGTGCTATGACTGTGAACTCCAACAACTGAATTTCTGCACAGATGGATATTCAGCTTTGTATATATTTTTTAGACCTGAGATCAGCTCTTCCCTGGACTCTATTCATGACATGGACAGCCAATACACGAATAACAGATTCAAAATAATAGTATAAATAATCCCTCATAAAAACAAACCCAAAATCTAGCCAGAATGTGCCTGACTCAAAATTGGTTTTCTAAATCCTTTTCTAAATCCTTTAAATACATCAGCTATTTGCAAGGCATACTTTTCTTAAAGCACTGCATGAGGTTTTAACTCAGCCACTGCAATCAGAAGGAAACAAAAAGCTCCTCCTTCTTTCTTCTTCTCACTTGCCTATTGTGGTTCATAGTTCTTCTTTGGGAGAAACACAGAGAAGTTGTCAACAGAGAAATTAACATTAGACACTGCTAATTTTAACAATGCAAGAACATCCTATTGTTTCCTGCTATAGTTATACGTGTTTTCAGTCTCTGTTAAATATTTTTACATCAAAGTAGTGGAAACAGTGGTGAAACATTTAATCTGACACTTTACTCTTGGTACTCATACTCTTGGTACTTACAGTAGTAGTGGGGTTCCTTAGAAAATGACAAACTGGTCACAGAAAAATGTTGAGATTTCATAATTTTTTGGGGTGCTCCATTTAGAGGTCATGGAGGAAGAGGAGAGAGCTTCAACTCCATGTAACTAAGAGATGGGTAGGGGACTCAGCTGAGAAACGAGACAGTCTCAAACCACTCCTCTGCCTGACACAAAGCAAGAATTTCATCTCACAGGAACATTCATGGTGAGCACATACTTTGGCCAAAATTTGAACCTTGATGTGAGAAACTGTCCAAGCAAATTCAGACTAATAGATTTGCACAAAATTCTTTGTTGTAGACAAAAGAGCAATTTTGATGCAGATTTCCTGTGTGTGTGTGTGTGTGTGTGTGTGTGTGTGTAAAATGTGTGTGTGTAAAATCAGCCATACTATCAACAGTTTGAACTGCCTGATGTAGGTTATAGGAGTCTTGGATCCTCTTCTAAAAGGAGAGCATTTTAGTTAAGGAAAGCCTTTTGCTTACTTAAAATTCAAGCAAAATCTCCTGGCTTGACTTTTTTCTTTGTTCCTTTTAGGTTTATAACATTAGCCAAAATGAATTGGATTATTTCTCACAGCTCTGTACCTCTCTATAAAGGTCAGTGTTTTGTTATTGAAAGTACTGGGAAGAAGGTATACGTGACATTTTGTGCTATTGATCTGTTTATAATGCTGTGGTACCATACTGGCCTCCAGTGCTTTAATCTCCTTACTAGCCCATTTTTAGTGCTACTGTTGAGGTGGGAAAGAATGGTTTGTATGCCTTGCCTGAGTTTCTTTGTCCCCACTTTCTGCCTGCATTTCACCACTTGACAAAAGCCTCTTTTTATCCCTAAAAGTGATAATGGACTTTCTGCATTCAGGACAGACCATTAAGTATATCGTTAGCTCATCTATAGCTCTTTTTACTTCCTCTCTTGTGCTGCAAAGAATTTAGTGCCATATCAGCTATATTATTATCCAGTAGACATTTACTGTAGAGAGATAAGTTGCTGAAAATAATGTAAACATTAAATATTCAGTGACTTGAAAGTTCATTTAGCTAACAGTGCATGTGTGCAGCAGTAATATGCTTGCAAGATCTATAGTAAGAAGGTTTAAAAGTTATGTACATGACTGATTTCAGACAACGCTTCATGTTGGTGACCAACAACGGAAATAAAATTAATACAGGAAAAAAATGTTCTTAGGAACACACTTTCTCTCATGTGTCAGTAACAATGGAATTAATCCACGTTTATATAATATACCTGGGATCAGAGTGAGGCTTTTACTGAATTGGCTCTTAGTACCTGCCTAAGGTGTTCACAAACACCTGAGATAAAAGGCTGAATTCTTGAGTGTTTACTTCATGGTAAAGCTGAAAGCCCTGGGAATAAGAAAGTAGGATGGTACATTCAAGTGTTATTCATATTGCTCCCCACTTGGAATTTGTACTGCAGGGTAGAAAGCTGCTTTGGTGGGAAGTCTAGAACAATATTCTGAATGTGAATTACAAAAAGCCTATTGAGAGGTTTACAAATTCATGGAGACTCCAGAAACAGGAATGGGAATGAAAAGCAAAAAGGAAAGTCAGAAATTTGGTACCATTGGGTTTCTGGATTAATAAAAAGAGGGGCAGTTTGGATGAATAAAAAGAGAAGCAATTTCCCTGGGGGGATAGCTGAAAGTCCGGACATTCAAAAGGGATTATGTAAGCTTCTAAATTTTGATCTCAGCTCTGCTGGTTGAGTCTCCTAGTGAATGAGAGATTAAGACCTGTTTAGTAGTTTTCCTGGCCTAACTCTTGGGCTTAGAGACCATATAGAATCTTTTTTATTTATATCACTACTGCTAGTCTAAGGCAATTGGAATTTTTTTCTATTCCTCTACATCTTTTATCATATTTACAAAATGTGGGCAGAAGGAGGATTAAAAATAGATCTTCTAAGACTGAAATATACTGGTTGCTCTCAGCTTGGAGCTCTCCCTTTTGTTTATCTGTCTGCCTCGGATAGAATTTGACTCGTTTAAAAGTCCACTTCAGTTTATAGGCTATGTAATCTTGTGTTCATCTCATAAGCTTGCAGTTTTGCCACTGACACACCTGACACACAGTGCAGTCATCATTAGAAGTCATTATTCACTTTAAAATGTTGCTTTTGCTGGTATGTAAGGTGCTTGCTCCAGGTCTCCCCAGAGTTACCTAAGGCCACTGAATGTGTGCTCTCATTGTCCTGTTAGGTAGTGCTTGGGTCAATTCATGACTGCCGTTCTTTCAGTACATAGTTACTGTCTCATACATATTTTCATATTGAATGCTCTCATACAGGTTTCTGAGGCATCCTGTAAGAAAAATATCAAAAATATCACAATTTGAACCCTTCAAAAATTATTTCTCACTAGAATCATTTAAATTAAGCATTTTTAGCATGTGTCATCTAAAATACATATTTGAGTTGAGCTCAATAACATCTTTTCTTAAGTTCCTGCCAAGGTGTTAACAGTGAAGTCAGCTTCTGTTTTCATCTCAGTGGCTTAGCCTGTTTTTCTTGTATATAGACACATGCATAAGCCTTTCTATTTATTAAACATCCATGAGATCCTTTTCTTTAACAAGAATACAGAAAGTTAAAATGAATTAAAATTACAATTAAATTAAAGAATTTAAATTAAAATGAAAATTAAGAACAAATAAACTTCACTCACTTGAGCTTGCACTGAAGAAGAACCTTATGGGCTCCCATTAGCTTCAATCATATTGCTCATAGAATAAAGTTAGATAATGTGACTTTTTCCCATTCTTCTTTTTCTCTACTTTACTAGTCCATGTAGGATCAGGCCCAGTATGAGTTTCAGGATCTAACGTTCCTACTCCTGAAAAAAACATAAGCAAAACTGAGGAAATATAGATAATTCTGAAGAGCAAAAGTCAAGAGAATAATTAACATTTTAAGAAACTTAGAAATAAACATAAATGGAGGTAAAATATATTTTAAAATGCAAGTATTTAAGGCTTGTCGTAGGTAGGTCAATGAACTAGCAACCAATTTCTGCCACTGTAAAAAAATACAAGGGGAAGAGTGATTTTCTGAGGTAGTGAGTGCCTCAGAAATGACTAATTTCAAGGGACAGCTGAATGGTTAGCACTCGGCAAGACTCTTAATAAAAGCTGTCTCTTAGATCGAAAAGGTTGTAGTAAAGAATTTTGTAGAACAAGGGCCTAGAAGGGAGCGAGCTTAGAATTTATTATAGCAACTAAAAGTATGTCTACATAGTATATTTCTGCAAGGCAGAAGTGAGCAATCCCCACATCCTAATCCCTATTTGTTCTGCCTGCATTCCAAAAAAAAATCCCCACATGACCATATTAGAGCACATGAGTTTAGTTAATAAATGTAGAGGAGCTGGAGGGTGTCTGAGATCGGACATGCCATCACATTGAAGCTGCCGCAGAGTTTCCCATTGCGGAAGAAATGAGGCTGCTGGCAGCTGCGCCAGGCTCCATTGCAAGAATTGCATGTGTACTGCTTTCTGCAGTGCAAATGGCATGGCCAGGAGGAGGCAGCTCGCACCACATGGGAAGTCCGAGCTATCTCTAAAATTAATACACAATGCAAGTGGACAACCGATCAAGCTTTAATGCTGGGTAACAATAGAGGAAAAATGAAAGATCATTATATTTTTAATATCTAGTCCTTTATGATTTACATATCACAGAATCACAGAACGGTTGAGGTTGGAAGGGACCTCTGGAGATCATCTCGTCCAACCCCCCTGCTCAAGCAGGGTCACCTAGAGCATATTTCCCAGGATCGCATCCATGTGGGTTTTGAATATCTCCAGGGAAGGAGACTCCACTACCTCTCTGGGCAACCTGGTTCGGTGCTCAGTCACCCTCACAGTAAAGAAGTTTTTCCTCATGTTCAGATGGAACTTCCTGTGCTTCAGTTTCTGCCCGTTGCCTCTTGTCCTGTCGCTGGGCACCACGGAGAAGAGTCTGGCCCCATCCTCTCGACACTCCCCCTTCAGATACTTGTGCGCATCGATGAGATCGCCTCTCAGACATCTCTTCTCCAGGCTTAAACAGGCCCAGCTCTCTCAGCCTTTCCTCATATGAGAGATGCTCCAGTCCCCTCATCATCTTGGTAGCCCTCCGCTGGACTCTCTCCAGGAGTGCCATGTCTCTCTTGCACTGGGGACACAGTACTCCAGGTGAGGCCTCACCAGGGCTGAGTAGAGGGGGAGGATCACCTTCCTCAACCTTCCGGCAATGCTCTGCCTAATGCAACCCAGGATCCCATTGGCCTTCTTGGCCACAAGGGCACATTGTTGGCTCATGCTTCACTTGTTGCCCACCAGGACTCCCAGGTCCTTCTCTGCAGAGCTGCTTTCCAGCAGGTCAGCCCCCAGCCTGTCCTGGTGCATTCCTCCCTAGGTGCAGGACCCTGCACTTGCCTTTGTTGAACTTCATGAGGTTCCTCTCTGCCCAGCTCTCCAGCCTGTCCAGGTCCCTCTGGTGTGTCAGCCACTCCCCCCGGTTAAGTATCATCAGCAAACTTGCTGAGGGCGCACTCTGTCCCTTCATCTAGGTCATTGATGAATACATTGAACAAGACTGGACTCAGCACTGACCCCTGGGGGACACCGCTAGCTACAGGCCTCCAACTAGACTGCACCACTGACCACAACCCTCTAAGGTCTGTCATTCAGCCAGTTCGCAATCCACCATATCTTTTCTAATATAATTTGGTCAAGCATTGTTTGAAAACACAATGTACTTGTCTCTTTCTGTTTGCTTTGTATCTGTGGGTTACACTATCTGAAAAGGTTGATTAGTTTTCTTCTATTGTTGTTTACAGCAAGAGGACCAGTCTATGATTAATCTGCTTGCATAGCTGCAGACAGAATATTCTATTGTTTATGTTCCGCTGAAAGAAGAGGCAACAAAATGTTAGCCATATCTCTTCCACCGCAAATTATCTCCATATTGATTTAAAACAGCTTCTTTGTCCCCATTGAAAAATGTTATGCTAGTGAAGAATGTTGGTGTTGCATTCAAAACTTGGATTTTTTATTTTTTCCAAGTGATAAAAGTGAACAGAAGACTGCTCCTTGTCATTTTGATGAATTTTAATTAATTAATTAGGAAGCTAATAGTTCTGGCTAGTGTAAACCATGGTGCTGCCTGTGGTATACATAAATAGACCCACTTCTCCAAATTCCTCGCGAGAGTGAGCCAGGTCCACCCAAAACCTGGAATGTTAATGCCCCTTTTCCCTCATTAGACTGTTACTGATGAAAAAAGAACCTGGTTAACCTCCCATGAAAACACATTTCCTATCTGCAAGTTTTAAAAATGATTGTCTGTACCTCAGGTGAGCACATTTCAGAAGTCATATGAAAGGACAGTTTTGGATTAAGATTTCAAGTTGTACACACATAAACTTTTGTGATATTAAGCTGAGGAATCCTAAAAAAATCACAACTCCCAAACCCCAACAATAGAAAAGCAGAAACAAATTTGCAAACCTCATGAACAACAATTTGGGGTTTCTATGTAGCTTTTAAGAACTGATCCAACCATGCTTTCCCAAATACATACCTACAAACATAAGCAAATGTGAAGAGATTTTCTTCCTAACTGGTGAACAATTCAAGCTGTGCAAAACCTTTGATATGCCTTCAGCACTTTTGCTCAGTATTTTTTATTACATGTCCTTTTTCTATGAAAATTTTAGTTAAAATTGCCTGGCTTATCTGCAGAGCGTAGTATTTGAAACTGAACAAGAAAGGATTTCCTTGATGTTCAAAAAGTGTAGACTATAGTCTATAGCCTCCATTTGCTTTGATTAGACACCAGAGATCTTCATGTATTTTTTCAGAGCTAGAAAGATGAGTTTTCAAAGGAAATATATCTTAGATGCCATTAAAAAAAGGGATGGCACCAGTGTTCAGTGAGGATACAGAAGGAAAAGAAAGGTTTTCAATGAGAGTGAGAATAAAAAGGCATTTTTGTATGAGTCTAGGTGAGAGAAATTCTGTGTGTGTGAGAAGAGGGAGAACTAAAGCAGAATTCATTTTTTTCTGGTAAACCTCTTCTTCAATTTGTGGTCTAGTTAAAGAATATGCTTTCTAAGAAGTAATTAATATCTTTCATTAACATCATGCCTCAGAACGAGACAATAATTTTGTTTGAAATTCTCTGCCAGAAGATAAATTAGCATGATTGAACTGGGGAATGTGAAAGCCATAATTCACATGGTCTATTCAGGTAATTATTTAAATCACAGAAAAGCAAAAGAGGAGGGACTTACATTTTAACATATCAAAGAATAATCATGTGTCGGAAAAATATGCAAAACTGGAAAAGAAAAGAAATGTCTGTGAATTAACAACTCAGACCTCTTATTTCCTTGAAGATAAAAAAGCACTGTACATAAATCTGTAGGCTACTAGTGATGCAGTCTAATAACTACTGGCAGAAGGTAGTGGAAAATTTCAACCCTTCTTGTCTTTTTTATCTTCTTGAAAAGTTTAAGGCAGTTTCAACTAGAGATGATTGAAAGTCAGAATGTTTTCAATGACAAATGCTGAAATTAATTTTAAAAAGCTTTCTCATTTAGAATGCAAAGAGGAACTTTCAAAATATCTAAACAAAGGGAAATCTACAAAAAACATATTTCTTAAAAAATTATGACCTTCTACTTTGAAAAACTGGAAATTAAATTGGGCATGGGACTCCAAACTTTATGGCTCACCAAATCCCGTTAGACTGATTTATTTATTTTTTTTCTACTTTTAGATTTACTGAAATGCTCTTTTTAAGATTCTTTGCAGTGCTTGGAAAAGGAAAAATCAATGTTTTTCAGCTTTACTAAAATGGCAATGAAAAATGGAAATACAGAAGCACAGAAAACTCAGAAAAATGTATTACTGGGGTTTTACCAAATTGAGTAAGGCTGTTTTGGATGTAGAATTTTTCTGTACAACTTTGGATCATACATAAAAAGAGTGAGACTTCTCCTGAAGCTTTACTCTCCTGAACACATTTCCTATCATTATTTTTCATGTAGATCGTCTTAAACATTAATATCTTCTTGTCTTTTCCCACTCTTGCAATCATAAAAAAAAATCTAGACTTTAAGAATCAATGCAGGTAAGTCTCCCTTTGGGTAAGCTACTTGCTTGTGGTAGTGTTATAGTGTCCTGGGGCTGTGGCCATGCTCAAAAGGAACTGAACAGTATGGTCAGCTTGTCCCCATTTCATTCGCTCCACCTGGGCAGTGTTACACTTCTAGCTCTGCCACAGTACATAAGAAATTAGATTCAGGCTCTGTAGGAGAGGGAGAAGGCTCTTATGAAATGTTTCCTAATCCCTGCAGGTGTATGGCATGACACGGGATTACCATTATCCTCATCTTGTTTTACATAGATAACCATTTCACAGCTGTCAGAGCAGTATTCAGGTGATTTAAATATTCATTTGCAGCCTTTTACTCTGTGATCATCTGTGATGGTGATTTCTCCAGAGGACATTTTTCAGATGGGGGTAACTGGCCTTTTTTACCTCCTTCAGCCAAGACCTTGTCCCTAATTGCAAAGGTGACTGAAAAAGGGAAAAAAAATCATCCTAAATTAAAGAAACGTTTCTCACAGATTGAGACAAGTGTCTTTTGCAACAACTCAAACAAATAAAGTGTGCTGCAAAGGACACTTGATCATCCACTCACTTTCAGAAGTACTGAGTGTCTCTGAAAATGGACGCCCCTTTGTTAGGGCCTGGCTAACACAACATGAATTTAGTGCTATTATCTGTGCACTGAGCTTGAAAATACTGTCAATATTAAATAGAGGTCAGACTTTGCCCCCAGGCT